CAGCCTTCGCCGCGAAAGCACCATTCGAAACTTTCTCCGCACCACGAGACCGCCAAAATCAACAATTCTTCCTTGACCACGTAAAACTCTCTGTTTCCCGTCGACAATCCATTCCGAAACCGATCGCACTGTCAAAATACTAGCTGCCTGCGCGCGTGTAACCCATCTAACCATATTCTTCGTACCGACCTCGCAAATCCCGACGCACTGTCATCCGAGCTGCCATTCGCCTGAACGACTTGGGACACGGTTTCACAACTACGGCCCACACATTTATCGGTATCGTTTCCTACGATACTACGGGTTCTGTCCTAACTGAACCTCCCCTTCTATTCCCGGTTAACACACCTTTCTATAATCAACGACTCCACGGACTGGACGTCGTGGGTCCGGGTTTCATTCCCTTTCGAATCTCACACATTTAGCACTTGATGTTCGAGCCGAGCCGCAGCCCTAGACCCGGACAAGGCATCGCGAATATTAGCACCGAGCCTTGATTCTGCGGCATTGCACAAGTTTACGTGTCGTGTGCTGCTACTTTTGTTTACGCCGATCCCCGTCAGACCCGGGATGCTATTGCGCCGATGGCAGGGCACGGAGGATGGAAGACTCATTTCCTGCGAGAGACGCAGCCTTTTAGGACGAGACGAGGGAGGAGCGTGTTCTTTGGGACAAGGCCGAGAGTGCGATGGCTAGGCAACGGTCAAGTTCCTGTCAGTCTTCTTATTTTCAGTGTGGTGTCTCGCTTAATCCTTTCTAGTGTCTGTCGTAATAGACTTGTGAATGGCAATTGCCGTATGGTCTGCGGCTTGTAGTCCGCGGAGAACGAGGACATCGTGCTGTACCGTTCAGCCGTATCTGATCGTTCTTTGCTTCGCTTCGAGTTTCATGAGGTGCTATAAAAGGTTCTGTGCATTGTGTAGAGCACCGACGTCCTCGTAGACCGTTGACCGTTATCCTGGACGTGCGGTGTTCCACGGTCTTAGGAGACTGAATGCCTGGCGAAGATGAAATACGGGTTTTGAAATATCACAAAAATGCATGCGCGCTTTCTTGGGACCTCGACCGGATATCTATTTATCTATTTTCATTCCTGTTCCCGAGGAGATGGTGAGAGGATGGAGATGTGGATGGGGCTCAAGCCCAAGCTTGGTAGTTATCAGAACTGGAAAGATGGATTCTTAGATAAAGGACACGAATATTCGGCCCAAGCCGTTCAGTCGTGCTTCGGCCACGCTTCCAAAGTTTGAGCTACTATTATTGTTTATAAGCATAACCTCCGTAACTTTTATGAATGAGGGCCGAGAGTCCATCAATATTATTAGCGAAGTGGTGAACTAGTGGAGACCGGTATGTTAGAATATGGATTGCTATTTTTAGAAGAGCGAGCTTGCATGAATATTCTCGCTCGTTCTCCCCATATTCCCCGGGACGCTTACTCATTTTATTAGTGATACGTTACTCATTTATTCTAGTACATTCTACGTATTCTGGTAGTATAAAAGCTGTGTAGTTAGTAGGGCATCGCTAGCGCGATTGCCGTGAACATTAGTTCCTTTTTGCTTACCTGTGAACCGCGAGTTCTTACACGGTAGCCCTGAGAATGATACTGAACGGGTGCGCGTTTGGATTTGGGAGCTGTATTAAAGACGGGGTACCGGTATATCGGACCGATAGGTCATGACATCTGATTAGTCATATTCTGATCGCCGTGATTTGAATTTGAATTTTTAGCCTTCCCCACATACTGCGATCTATCCTGGCGGCCTTGAAGTGTTCCTGTATTTCCCGTTAAAACGCGAAGGCCAATTTTTGAATACGTGTTGCCCCCTTGCTGCACTTTCTCATGGTGATCCCGTTGTCGGAATTTCTTGCCTGCGTTGTGAAGGAACTATACCACTGCCAGTCGTTATTCTCGCTGATGTCAGGTCCAACACCGCTGTCCTAGGCAAGGCGCGAATTGCTGATCTGTATTAATATGGTACTGATACTTGCGTGTTCAGAGTGCCTCTTACCCGACGCCTTTTCTCAGGAAACACTGTCATCGAGCTAGAATTACTTGCAGAAGCCCAGACCAAGTTGAATGTTGAACCTCGACGTCGGTCCTGGGTTTGCCGTTATGCTCTTTCATGTGCTGCTGTGAAGAGGTACGATTCTTTTTGGCTTTTCACGCTGCCATTGTGCGAACCAGAAATTACAGAGATATACAAATAACGCGTGCCGACTCGGTGGCACAATCCATTGTCGCGTCTTTGTAGACGATGGTCTATTAGACGCCACGGGACGTTCTATATAAACGATCTGTGCGTCTAGACGTTCCTCCAGATATCCTATTCCTCAACCTTGAAGCCACTTTCTCAGACAATGACGAAGACCCACCGCCGTCGTTCTTCTCGGTACTCTTATCCACCACCAGAGAATTACTCGACACTCTTCAATCGCGCCTTTGAACCTCGGTTTATCACCCAGACCTTTCATTTTGGAGATTTTAAATGCGCCGCTCTGCTGCACGAGGACGTCAAGAAATCCCTACCGCAAGTGTTCAATCGGCCTTCTTATCACCGTCAACTCGCGTTCGGAACCCGACACGCTGGGACCAAAGGCCTAGGGATGTTCTCTCGCTGTGGCATACCCGCCGGCAGTATCATTCTCGCCGAACATCCTCTTGTCGTCATGCCACGCAGTTCGTCTACCAACACATCGATGATTTCTCTCTTGTTATCCGAAGTCCACCCCAAGGAAAAGACCGAATTCATGAATCTGTTCAATTCCCAGCCGCTCGAGGAGCCGATGAAAGCTATCTTACAGACGAACGCCTTCTTGATCGACTTGCCCATTGAAGATCCCGAATTAGCTGCTTATCATGCTGTTTTCCTCAAGGTCAGCCGATGCAACCATAGGTGGGGCAGTCTCTTCTGTTCTTCGTGATAATCATATTGAAGGCTTTCATTATAGCTGCTCACCGAACGCTCACTGGAAATGGGACCCCGCTTCGTTTTCCTTGACTCTCGAAGCAGTCCGCGCTATCGGACCCAACGAGGAGATCACGATCCAATACATCGACAGCTGTGTAGAGCGTGAACAACGCCTCGTTAAGCTCCGAACATGGTACAACTTTGACTGTCTCTGCCCGACTTGCACCCTCCCACGGGAATCCATCATACAGAGTGACTTCGCCCGAGAAGAACTCTTCCAACTCAGTAAGCACATGCCGACCTTCGAAATGTGGTGCGCAAGCGAATCGCTATCGGATGATTACATGATTCGAATGCATCAACGTGCGCTAGAGCTACGAGAGGCGGAGGGGTTGCAGTTGTTTGAGTCTCGGAAGCATATCGATGCTATCGCGATGTGCTATGGGGCTCTGGGCGACGTACCGATGTTCAGGTGTTGGACTGAGAGAGCTAGAAAGCTGAGGGCGACGAGTTATTCGGGGGAATGTGTTGTTCTGGATCGATGGATGATGGATCCTCGAACGTTCCCTGTCTGGGGGTGGAGAAATCGCCGGAGGCGTGATATTGTTTGATATTGGGGTTGTATCATTATTCATCAAAGGTGATTGATAACTAATCATATACTAGTTCATATAGTAAGCTTGCGGAAGATGCGGCCAACAGAAATGATCAATAGAGTCGCTTATTCACTTGCAATTCTCGAGGACTCGCATGTCCTCTTCAGCAGCTCGTTGACAGGACGGTTATCAAACGGTCAACGTATGTCTCACCGAGATTACTTGTCGTATCCTTGGTGATGAACGTGTACGTCTTGTCCAGTTGGCGTTTTCTGTATTATGTCATAATCAATTTGACGCCAGCGAGCCACACATGTGAATTGGCGATTATTTCCAAACCTTTCCCATGCTGTTCCTGTTTAATTCAACCTGTTTTGAATGGACTAGAGGTATGGCTTCACAGTACAGTTCTTCCCTCCACATCTAATTTCCTCCAGATATTCTGTGTTTTTCTTGTCTTTCTTAACAATGTCGCGACGCGCGTCACAGCGGATAATTTTGGCGCCGAGACGTGTAAGCCGATCGTCCAACCAAATTTGACATCAGGTACGGTCCTTTGATATAACGTACGCCGCATCACCCTGTAATTTTATTCCGGCAAAAAGAGCCTTCCGCGAGCCTTCCTATAGGAGACGGCAGCTATTATAGGATCTTATCTTCGCACGGAAGGCAAGAAGAGTCGAAGTTATTCACAAGCTTCTCAGGCGTCTTTCGGCCAAAGAGTGCCGCGCTGGAAGCTCCATCACTGTTTAAATTGCGTTCCGCCGCACATCCGTGTGGCGTGCCGAGCCCAATACCCAGGGTTTCTGGATGTTCCCTGGGGAGTCTCCTTTCGATAAAGTATACTAAATCACTTTTTCTTCTGAAGAAAGCTTGCTATTTTGGAAGACCAGCACCTCCTTGTTGAACGTTCCCGGCGGTAAGAAAGGTCTCGCTAAATCATATTCGGACCGGATCACCTGATACAATTAAGCGGAACGCTTTCCCGTTCTTGCCGCGACGGTGTCTCTCCTTGATGCCCTGACCTCCCTGGCATCACGAAAAAAGATGGTGATAGAACGATCTCTCGGCCTGGCTGTTTGCTATTGACTACAGGCCGCCTTCGCTCTTTGCTTCACCTGGCCACGTTCAAGGCTTCGTGAACGCCGTTCTTATCTATTTCCCCACCGATGCTACCACCACTACATTTGGCAACCATGCACCGGAAACGCGAGGGGGAAGATGGAGCTGGGTAGTATTGGTAGCAGCTGCTGCCTTTTGGCCTGGAGTTTTGTCCAGCCTGTCCACTCAACAGGTCTCCAATGTTCAGGCTCGACTTGCAGATGCAGCACAGCAGAGGTACGCTTGCCTCGAGTTCTTACATGCGAACGTGTGCTGATAGCCATCACTCTAGCTGGGAATTGGGAACTCGCCAGCAGACCCTTCTCGAAACCGATGCGACGGTCTACTCTGTGTTCTCTGACCAGTCGCTGCCCCCACCGTCGACCGTGCCGGATAATATGACGGACGCTCTCCTGCCTGTATTCACGATGGCGAGACAGATCGTTTCGAACCGAAACAGCTCCAACCACAACATTACGGGCGCCCAGCCCTTGATGTCGGATGGAAGTGCGGCGGATCCGGCGTCGAACGGCGTCGCTGTACTCATAGCAGGTTGGACGGGGCAGGGCGACACGGATGGACTGAATTATACAGGCGCCGCAAAAGACCAACTGGATTTTCTGTTAAACAATGTATCGAGGTCGAATGACGGCGCTATCGCACAGGTTCGCGACACAGCTATGGTGCGTTGTGTTCTTCAATGACAGTCCGAATGCTTATTTATTACATTCCCAGGAGCGACTTCGTGTATATGGTTCCCCTTTTCCTGGCGTACTATGGCGTTCTCACGGAGAACCAGACATGGTCGCAGAGGCGTACAATCAGATCAGGCTTACAGATAATTTACGGGATACAATGCGAATAACCTCTGGCAGCATGTGGTACTGGGAAGTTCTGGCACGGATTCTGGTCACTGGTCGACGGGTGCGTATGACTTTCTCGTTTATTTCGTCGTTTTTCTGATCGTGGTTGCAGGCAACGGTTGGGCCGCTGCGGGATGCTCAGAGTATACGCTACTATCCAGAAATCTCAGTATGAAAGCACATTCTCAAGCGAAATGGATGACCTCATTGCTTGGGCCCTTGAGATACAGAAAGCGATGTACGACACAGTGGTACGTCCTTCCTCCTTACCTTCCAACTGCGACTCATAAATTTAATTAGGACAATACCCACATTTTCCGAAATTATGCCGACAACGAATCTACGTTCTACGACAGCGCCTCGACAGCCCTCATGGCATATACAGTCTACCGGCTATACACTGTTACCGGCGATACGTCTTACATCCGCCAGGCTGAGCGCAGTAGGAACGCTTTATACGCTAGCGGAGTGACGTCCACTTACTCCTTATCGCTGAGTTCCACGTCAACTTCAACTAGTACCTCGCCGGCGTCGACCTCTACCTCAGGATATGAACATTTCACGTCCGACGGGTGGCTGACGCCCGTCGTGAACCCACATTCGTATGGCGTCGAGGGATCGGACAGTGCCGAGGCACAGGCGTTCGTGTTGTTGATGCAATCGGCATACGAGGAATGGGTAGCTGATGGTTCGCAGGGGAGTGGAGCCTTGCAGTTGCGTACGTCTGCTTGGGGGGTTCTGCTTTCTATTGCGGCGGGTGCAGTGGTCCTCCTGTGAATGATACCCTTTCCCGGTTTGAAGTATACTTATTCCCAGTTTATTTTCCTCCTCGGTGCATTCTCTTTTTGATGGAGACTTACTTACCTTCAGACGCTTACTGTATCCTTTTTTGTATTATCTTACTCAGTTGTAGTGGGGAATAAGAACATTTTTGACATCGCGTTTCGGTCAGCGTTAATATCGTGAACCGTGATTCATAGTATCTTAGCCAATATATCAGACTCTGGAGGCGGTAGGGTCTGTGTGCCGTGGAGATAGTATGATTCTTCCTGGTCGCGCAAAGCTAGCGGCAGTAGAATACCAGTTTGGCCGGCTTGGGAACTATCCACGATCCAGACCCCAAAGAAAGATGTAGCTGTTGTTGCCGCGGCCGGCCGGGGGTAATAATCAATCATCCGTGTGTACTAGGCAGAACTTTGAACCACGAGATCACTTCTTCGTTTTCTCCATCACGCTCGCTGATGTAGTTTTGTCCTTGCATAGATATAACACGGTGTATTGGGCTACTTATTCGAAACTAACCAAACTACTTAAGTACCTTTATCGTGACGTGAGTCTTGCATTCTACTTTTCCAAATAACTTCCCTGTTTCATTTTAAAGACTTCTCGCTATTCCTGCATTGTAAATTTAAAAGATACGCATAATCAAGGAACTCACTACATGCTTTCAAGCAGGTCAAACAAACCGAACTGGAAGACTCTCATTCGTACTCAACCTCAATTCGACCAACCCAAATGATTTACCTCTTTGGAATCGTATCTCCTCCTTCCTAGTCTTGATAACAGCCATAACTCCTCATAACTCGTAATCCAGGGCCAAATCTTAATATGATGTCTGAACGCCCCTTGTACACGCCTTTGATTGATAATGCCGGCATCTCGCGACAATTGATGCCGTTACGTCATCTGGCGCTTAATGAAATTTAACTCAACGTATTCCTCAAAACTATCCAAGAAACCCGCAGAGAATTCCAATAATTCCATATCAGCTTGCATATAACTCGTGAAGGGTGTCGTTGCGGTCGGTGAGATGCTGCCAATAGCTGGTAGTTTCGTAAAAGGTCTTGCCGCTGTCGCTGTCGTGTTTCTAGACAACCTGGAGGTCAGGCTTGCCATTACTTCGTCTTTCCTATGTACATGATTATAAGTATTCCTCGGACAGCGACTTGCAAAGAACAAGGAAGATATACAGGTCCTCGCCAGGGATATCACTGATGTCGTGATAATCGTTCGCGATGCCGGTATCAAAATATCCGCAGAACCTAGGAGCATTGAAGACGTTGCAGATCTCAGAAATGCTTGCTCGGAATTCCAGAAGTATTTATTCTTTGTGCAATGAGCAATTATCTGATTCTGATACCGCGTAGCAATCACGGCCTTTGGAAGGATATAAAAAGGCTCTTGACTTCGAGAGATATTAAAGAGACGATTAATGGACACCGACAAGTCATGGAAGGCGCGAGATCCAACCTTTTGGTTTGTTTTCCGCTCTCACATGGACGTTGATACTCTTCGCTGACGATTTGTTCACCAGCTCTCTCTAACTTTAAAATCAAATGTATCTCTCTCTCATATCACTCATGGAGTCACTGCTCTTCAATCGTCGCAAACTGACTTGATGGCCGTTACTTGTGATATTAAGCGTGACGTGTCTCACATCGGAGCTCATGGACGAGATACACTTCCTAACGGCAAAGTACTCAATTACAATCTCCTTCATTTGAGACGATAATCTAATCAGCTGCTAGTTCCACCATATGATGTACGGCGATATCCAATGTCGGGAAAATTGGTCAAAGAAGAGCCTCATAGGGCAGATCGAACAGGGCCCAATACATATGGGTGAAATCCTCAAATACGTCGCGGATGTGTCCACGTCGAACCGTGTTATGGTCGTAAAAGAGTATTCCGGGTCTGCAGGCCTTCTGGTGAGCTAATAAACATGAGATTTGTTAATGTATCTCGTTACTTACCATCATAAAGCAATGGAAAACAGATTTCGATCTACACAGTAAGGCGCCAAGGTTAGCACGTATTTCCTTATTAGCTCAATTCTGACGTCAACACGTTGCGCGTTACAGGCATCCGAACTTCCGTCAGCTGTATGGAGTTGTAAAATCTCAGGATTGGCCTTGCTTAGTGTTTCATGGGGCTGACGGTAAGAAATCTTGACAGACATATAACAGCCCATCTGATAACTATTTAGACGAAATTCCATACTGTCAATATCCTAAGCTCTTTGATAAACGTATCCAACCTTTAGCAAAATCGGCATTGGTGCGTCTCACATAGTTGTGTTACGTTTTTGGTGTTGATTTATGCAGTATCATAACCGCTGCGTACGCCGTAGAGTCTTTCTGTGCCGGAGAATCACCTCGTCTAACGACGTTTCATACTCATAGAGCCTTCTCAAGTTCTTGATCTCATGCTGGGGTGTAACTTTGGTGATTTAACCTCTATCCCTCCTATGATATTGACAAATGAATCGTTAGATGATAGAATGAAAGCACGGCACGTTGTTCCCCAGACGGACGTCTGATATTCGATGATTTGGAGGAACTGTCATGGGCGACGACGTGGGACAAGATATACGTCAACGATTTTGAAAATATCCTTGGTCCCGTGCCGCCAGCAGTACAATGGTCGCTCAATCTTCTGATGCTTCGGCGACAGGAACCTAGCGTTCAAAAAGAGTACCTCGTCACGTACTTTCGTGTCATGTCAGTTGGGACACCATGGTCTATGATCCCAGACGTAGATATAGATATACCCAACTCCACACTCATCGGAACTATCGTTATCAGTGACCCTCTGGAACACCGTCACTTCGCAGTGGACTGCCTCGGAGATGAAATCCCACCAGTCAAGCTTTCAATCCAGTCATATGCGATGGGGGAGCTTCTGGAGCTTCCGAATGGACTCTGGAGGTTCATACGTCCACAGTCAGCGATCAATGAAAGTGAAAGCTTCCTTCATTCCATATTCCCTGAATCATTGGACTTTCTTGGCCTCGGATTCACATGCTCCATGGAATTAACATCGGACGCGAGGTCCCAACATCTCTGCAGTTGGTTCTCGCAAGGTCCACGAATATTGGCAAAGATATCCGAGACCTTAAATGCCGATCGTCACCCGGAGTTAGTAGTTTCTCAATGTACGTAGTATTGCGCTTACTCTGTTCACCTACTAATTGTTTCGCATTAAGTTAGCAAGAGGCGATTTCAAATCCGCGTACTGAGATCAGACTCAGAAGTTGACTCGGACTCTCCCCCGCCCGACATTCCATACATATTCATTGACCTTCCTTTTATGCGTCAGAATGGAAAGTCTCACTCCATCACTCTTCCCGACATATATCTATCTATGGACCCGCAAGGCGCCAGACCTGGTCCTGACTGCACGTGGAAAAACTTTTATAAGCTTGAGATAGTAGATATGGGTGACAGCGGACTATTTGTTAGCCGAGTTAACCTCAAGATGGGCTGTTTCCTTCAAGAGCGCTGTGGGTTTCGCACTACGAGTATCGACGCTGCGATCTTCTTAAACCAAAGGGAACTGACTTTCCAGATGATCAACGACGAAGGTGTGACTTAGCTACAATTCTGGTATTTATCTAATACCTCTCTCAGCGATCAGGAATGCACTGTCTAACGGTGTCGATATTTCTGTGTGTGACGATCAAGAAGACTTTCCGGTACGATGTAAGTATCATTCGTTCCAAGTCAGGTGTACGGCGTACAGACAGCCATATTGTATAGGGGAAGAACTGAAAGAATACTCCGCTTTGCTGAAGTGCTACGACGGGATTGAACTACTTCCGGAGGATCGTGATACTCCCGGTAATGAGATCGCTCAGATCCCCGAAGATGAATTAAACATGAAGTCTTACTCCGGGGCACATAATGCTGGTGAGTTGTTGAGTGGCCACATTATATTTACGACGCTCAGAATGTGATTCAGACTAGGAGCACAACAGAAATACTAGGTGAGTATTAAGGATACTCTTGCAAAATACAAGCCGCGACGCCACCACATAGGAGATGTAAGCGCATCTAGGAGTCCCGAAATCGTAAGAATTTCTCCGGGCATCTGTGTCGTCACCGGTATTGTTGTGCTTATGTTCGCGTCGACCCTTCTTCGCATGGTCGTGGTTGTCATATTTTTGTTTACTTTTCTTCACTTCGTAGCTATCTTTCCTGAGACCGATAGTTATCGCACCTCGTCACATTTTCTGACTGCTGCGAATTTATGATTCCTACAGAGATACGCGGCATCCTTTGCATACTCCCCGGCCAAATTTCTGTACAAAAAAAGGATAAAACAATAACAAGCGGTGGTAGCTACTATTCTTCGATTATCAATGAGACGGTTCTCCCAGACTATAGCTGTGTTGTCGCCAAGCCCACTCGGCATAGCGCTCAAAATACGTCATTCCACCTAGGGAAGCCTGAAAAATAACGCGATGAAGTATGGAAACATAAAGGACGATCGTGAAGACTTGCCACCCTATACCAACGTTGCGCCGAGTCGATGGATGGAAGTTCGCTTTGTGCCATACCAAGCTTGGTGTAGCAACGCTGGATCAAGGAAAGTCAAGCAGGTGAAGAATTCAAAGGAGAGATCATACGTGTGGCACGATTTTATGGATACGTCGACGGCGAAGTCCAGCCTTGCGAGCAATTACAGCCTCCTTCTCGTCTCTCAAATACTCTTCGAAAGCAGGAGACGTGTCGTGGAACATATTCAGATTGTTCATGATGCTCATCATCCTTCCGGGAGAAAGTTTTGGAGAAAATCCCTAGCGGTAAGTCAGAAGGTGAGTACGATTTGGATCCAAAGCGTACTGCATAGGGGCAAGCGGCCATCTTCTTCATCGCACGACTGCCAGCTGATTCTGAAGACAGAGCATTGCCGGATTCTTTCCATGTCGGCCAGTTCATAAAGAGGCCGACAATGGCCGCGTGAGGATTAGCTTTGTTCAGAAAAGGACTCCAGTCAGATAAGACGGACATCCCCAACGTAATTCTTGTCGACAATATTTGAGACTTCAATGCGGTCGAAGCTTTGCGGAAATGATGGGCCGCCTTTCAAAGTTCTCTGAAGCACTCGGGCGTCCTCATCAAAGGAATATATATGTATCTTGAATCGACGAAGTCGGTTGGAAAATTCGACGAGCTGGTTTTTGACGTAGAAGAATAGGCAACCTATCAAATCGTCTTCGGTTGTGCCATGAGCTTTTCCGGCCTTAAACATCTCGTCGAGACTAATAGTGGCAGTAAGTGCAAATACTTAGGTAATTTGGAATGCTTACTTCCATCCTTCGAAGGGATTAGCGCAATCGTTGAGCATGAGATGTCCATAAGTGAAGAGCCATTTGTTCGGGATAGCCATATGAGAGTTGGCGGCCCCAAAGGGTAAAACGAGCCCGAATGAACGCCACCTCTCAAATGCAACTCTATGAGAAGGTTTAATGGCCTCATAATATCTGTCGCGATAATCCATCGCTCCGGCGCATTCATTATGTTGTTCAAAGCGGTGTTGGCGGAAGCGGGATCCAAAGCTGAACAAAGCTGTTGGGAAAGAAAATCGACAGTGTGAGAGGAGAATACTGTGTGCATCGTGGTAGAAGATGTAAGCTGAGAGGGTGTCCCCTTAAGATTCTTAAAGGTAGCAGACTCGCAGAGATGTAGAAGAATGCGCGTCTGGTAAGACAGAGGCTGAAAAACAGAGTACCAGAGGTGAAGAGCATGTTCGGCTCCTTCCTCCTACGGCGAGAAGTTAATGACGAATCATTAGGCGGTACTATCATACTCACAACGTCTGCGATAACACCAAGAATGGAGAGAATTAGGAGGTTCCGGCAGACGATCATGGGATTTTTGTCATTGAGGACAATTTTGATGGACCCGGAGTAGTCTTCTGGTAACTCATTGATGGTCCTGACAACGTTTCGTAGATCTCCGGAAGCTACGGTTATCAATCAGACTGGGTCGCAGAAACGAACGGAACCGAGCACGCACCTATGAATGCTATCGATAGATCTCTGTTCCGTATATCTTCTAGCCCCTCGTTATGCTTGGCGCTAATGATATCGATAGCCTCGATGTTCCCCCACCTAATGACCTAGAGTCAGTATTTGGACAGCGCGGCGCACCAGGAAGTAACTCACAAAATCACGCCCATTCCAAATGGAGATTGCATCGAAAGTTGGCTTGGTGGCACGTCGTCATCGTCAATGAACGCTGGGCTCCTCTTCTCCTTGATCCATGCTGGCGACCATGACGTTGATTTTAATGGATTTTTACAATCTGCAACTATGTTAGTTCCTTCTTCGCCTATGTAAATTCTAGAACATACCTTGCTTGTGCGATTTCCAGTGGGTCGACTGGCACTCTTTCGAGCAATATCGAACGAGAAAACATCCGGAACAGGTCATAGTTCCATCTTTAGGGCAAAATTGGGACTTGGAGATGATTTGATTTGCGCAACCGAGACGGCTCAAGGGAGGCGGCATCTTGGTCCCGAGCGCCAAACGACTTTCATTCCGTAGCGCCTTTGCGACGTCGAATAAGTCATCTTGAAGTCCATGACGTGCGATGAGGCCTTCTAAGGCTTTCCGGTCGTTGTCATCTACGTTTTTGCCGCTCTTGGGGATACCAGGGCACCCGTAAAGCTGAATTAGAGATCCTTGAGAATCGCTTCCGAGCCTTTCCATGCATGACAACAACGCCGATTTCTTATCGTCTTTCGTGGAAAGCTTAGAGAACGACTTTTCGAGGTCGTCGATGAGGGTCTGCATGCTGGTCGTGGTAAGATGATGGAGATCGATACGAGTTTTTATGGCGACTAGTGGCACGTTGTCGAATTGGCTCCGCAGTGTGAAGCATGTCATCATCACCCTGAAAATAGACGCCCGATTCAATTCTTCGTCAAAGTAAGTGAACCTCATGTCACCGAGTGCTGCTGAAAACAGTAGACAGTATTCTCTGGGATAGGGTACGGTCGCGAGATTGAGCCTATCGAGAGCTTCTGATAGTCAATAAAGGGCTGGAGCTATGAGCTAAAGCGACATACGATGCAAATAATTCATATTTATTGATGACTATCATTGCTGCGAGGTGAGCCATCCAAAGTACGCATCGATCTGATGGATAGTTGTATGTGCGTTATGTCATCTGGTGTCGAATTAGAGTTGTCTTTGTTGGCTACTTTATTTCGAATGCTCGAAGGAAATCTTCTCACCCAAAGGCGAAGTATCAAGACAAGATTGCCAAAACTTGAGACTGAGTGCGACTTAGCTCGCATAGAGCAATCTACACAGCATTTCCTTGTTCGATGTCCTGAGGACAAGAGAGCAAAGCTAGGGTATCGTTACAAGGAAATGCACAGTGGCAGCAGAGTAAGTAACTCGTCGCTTGACGGAAAAAGTCCGGAGAAATCGGCGTCGGGCCCGGTGTGGGCTTCATGCATCACGTGAAGTCCCGACCTCCCGCGTGTCGCGACGGTTGTCTTGTCTGACTGTTCAAAGTTCAGCTCTGTCTTTACACCCCCTTCCGCTACAACACTAGTCTTTGAGTCGTACTCTTGTAATCCTGAATAAAGAGGCGAATGCGCAGAACCCTCTTCAATGCATGGTTATGGATAACCGCCAAGCAACTGCCAAGACTATACGAAGATGGCAATGTGATACTCAGACTGGCTCATGACTGGCTTTACGAAGCTAGGCTCCACGACACACATGCAATTCCAGATTCCAAAGTGAATAGGGCGAAATCACGGCACCGATTCAGATGAGCTTGGCACTGAGCTGATTGTGGTTTGGATGAAGAAAGTTATCCGAACTGTCCGGAAATTCATGTTCCGGACTATCCGGTCCGACGCGGCGCTTACTCTGGGCTTCTCGTGGCCTCTCTCGCCATCTTCTCGCCTTACTTCACGGTATATGCGTCCCTTTACGGCTTTTGACTTTGAGGTACACCATTTTTCTTCGTACCTTGTATGTAAAGCTCTGGTGATCCTCTGCTGAACGCTTCATACAGGATCTGCTTATCGGAGCCCACACTGACTGGTGAGGCAAAACCTGCAGGCGAGCACCGTCAATTTGCCCCCATGTCTGGTGCTAGCCACTGCGAACATCTGAATCCAAGCGAACGATGCGGTCTCTGCAGCTCTAAGACCGATTTTGATTGATCATCAAACTAGAGCCTCGCTCGCGGGGGATTCAGCCCGTGTCCAAATCCAAGCAGCAGAATGGAAAGGAGGGTTCAGATATATACCTGAGTGTCGTCTTTGTTGCACCTCTCTATGTCTTCGCATGCTAATTCGAGGGTTCATGTTGGACCTCTACGATACGAAGATGACTATTTATCACCATATCGTCGACTTGAACGTCAGATATCAGTGCTTTGGGGGTGTTGGAAAAAACGAGGTACCATCGTCCTCATCGTCTTTATTTTGCCACGTCTGCACTCTTCCCCCGTAATCTGGATTCCTTTGTTCCTGTTCCCTCAGGGCTAGACGTCGGACTCCATGTGATGACTCGAGCTTCGATGAACTCGCCATTTTATCCTTGAGGAACCAATTGCAGCAGACACCCTCCGAAATGGGGTGGTTCTTGGCATATAAAGCCTCTCAAAACGTAGCATTAGTGTGTCAGGGAATTTCCTCATCTTTATAGCGCGTACTTGGACTTAAAGGAACAACATGCGCGCTCTTGGTACCAGGTTTTTCTATACCATACTCCTCGTAGTATCCCTTGTCAAGGCTTCACCCTGGCCAGGCTACCTGAAATACTCTACCCATGGGCTCAAGATGATTGGGCGCGACTTGAAGGTCGACAGTTATCACCCCAAGACGACTTACAAGGTAACGTAGTGGGTTTATCCGTTCAGTTTACATTCTTATACTGTATTTCAGACTTACGGAGAAGGGAAAGAGGTTGCTTCCTTTGTTAATGGTGACCTGGAAAAGTCTACGATCTCCTTCATTTCCTCAGAACTTGGTGTCGACCCATCTACTATCGCCTATAACTCTGGCCATACGGCAGACAACGACATGAGCTACGCCTATGCGAAGCAATCATATGTAAGACTTCCTCTTTTCCCTCTTACGATGGACAACTATTAATCTCTTACAGGACGGGGTTCCCTTGGCTAATGCTGTTGCCAATGTCGCTTTCAGGAATGGCAAAGCAGTTGCTTTTGGGACCTCGTTCGTGGATACCTGTAAGCTAACACCGTTCTCTTCGTTCCTTCCTATTAACGTCATACGTAGCAACCATTGCGTCCTCCCAGCCATCTATCACGCTCGACTCAATTATTAGTAAAGTCGAGGATGCCTTCGACGCCACCTACAATGGCATAAACTCGCTCGAATATCTAGCCCAAGCTGATGGATCCGTCGCCCTCACTTATGTATTGCAAGTCCAGAACACCGACACCAATGCCGGCTATGAAGCATTTGTTGATGCCCATTCCGGAAATATCGTTGGGAGCACCGATTTCCTCGCTGAAGCTACGGTAAAGCTTCTACCGCCTCTTGCTTTCTGATGTATCTTTAAATCAGCTACAGTACACGGTTTTGCCTATCACTAAGCAATCGGTGTTGGAGGGCGAAGAAACTCTAGTCAATCCCGAAGACTTTCAATCTTCTCCCATCGGTTGGGTGCAGAATGGCGAGACTGCGTTTGTATCTTAATTTAATATCTCCCGAGTAAAATCACTTACGATTCGATAGAGGAAACAATGTCGTGGCCTACAAGGGCACTCCGAGCAGTACGAACTAAAGAATCATCCTCCGATACCTTTGATTACCCATATGATGTCTCGGTCGGACCAACAGATGGCCGATAATGTGGACGCAGCTCGTACCAACGCCTTCTACATCATCAACAAGGTCCCGACTTCACCTACAAGTATGGCTGGACTGAATCTGCATATAACTTTCAATTAGACAATTTTGGCAAAGGAGGAGCCGGAGGAGATCGCGTCCAGATGTCCGTACAAGACTCTTCAGGATATAATAATGCCAATTTTTCTGACTCTTCCAGAGTAAGGCCGTCTTTTATTGTACTGAAAAATGCTAAAGTATCTTGTTCAGCGGTCAGAACGGTACTTGCCGCATGTATGTCTTTACTATGACTACGCCCCGTCGCGACGGAGACTTGCAGAACGACATAATCGTCCATGAGTTTACGCATGGTCTTACTAATCGTATGACTGGCGGTGGAACGGCTCGATGTTTACAAACTTATGAATCTGCTGGGATGGGCGAAGGTACAGATTCTTAGTATGCACCAAGCGCCATTCTGATTTTGACTTTCATTCCTCTCAGGATGGTCTGATGCGATGGCAGAGTATGTTTCTAGCATATCCTTTCCTTTTATCACGAAGTTCATGCCGTATTTTAGTTGGACCGAACAAAAGGGCGGGAACATAACTGACTTTGTGACAGGAACTTGGGTCATGAACAATACTGCCGGTGTACGCCATTACCCATACTCCACAGATGCCGCTGTCAACCCTCTCCGTTACTCGTCACTTTCTTCACTCTACGAAGTTCACGGTTCGTCCTCTCTGTTGAAATTAAACTGTGTGCTGACGAAAGGCATGTCCAGATATTGGAGAAGTGTGGGCGAACATGCTTCACAACGTACACGCACTCCTTGTTGAAGCCAACGGATGGTCTCCGACTGCTATGTCTGATCCCTCTGGATCTGAAGGAAACATCGTTTATCTCCACCTCTTCATCGATGCACTTGCCCTGCAGCCTTGCAATCCAACCTGTAAGCAAGCCCTCACCGTCTCTTCTTCCGAGTTTGTTTGATTTAGTGAATCCAACAGTTGTCGACGCGCGCAACGCTTGGATCCAAGCAGACGTGAACCGCTACAATGGAGACCATGCTTGTACCCTCTGGATTGCATTCGCAAGCCGTGGCTTAGGAATCGATGCTGACCACTACATCGACGATGAGACTATTCCGTATGATTGTTGAACGAGACGGTCAAGAAAATCGAATGTACAGTTAAATAGCCTGCTGGAACTCTTTGTATGTAATATATGTGCTCTTTAACCTGTGGTATTGTGTACTTTCATCGTTATTTCTGAGATAAATGCATCACTAAAAATCTCCGTTGCCAAACCCGTACCCACGACAGGTTTCCCATGGTTCTACGGTGCTGACGGCGATCCTCGGAATCCTCCCTACAGCTTCGAGATCAAGTTCGAATCTCCTAGCCCATCCGTGCCATCCCTGTGATAGCTCTGAATTAAGCACACCGAACAATGGTCTCTCTATATTCAGGTGAAGCATCCTCAGGTTGTGGAATCGGGGCTGTGAAAACACCTGGGCAAGATGTCTGGATACCTGTTGAGGCGATACCCACTGGTTGCAAGAAAATGTCAGGTTCAATGATTCCAACGGTGATGGAGCATCTGAGGATGGAGCGAAGAGGTTCTTGAGAAAGCAAGTATCCCGAGTGCAGTCGATTATGGACAGCGCTTTCGATTTCGTAAAAAGGAAAGAAACTATTGAGGCATGAGCTAATGCACAGCAGTTTCGATGAACCGCGCACCTGGTATGTCTTCGAATTTATCCATTTTAATTGATAGATCAAGCAAAATTGGAATCCTTCGAAGGAAGACCTCAAGATCCCTCACAGAAGAATACGGGAGGGATACCTCTCGTAAAGAAATTGGGGAAATTGGGCAGTCGTCTCTAAGAAATGGCGCCAAGTCAGCAGCCGAATCAATATCCAACCGCTCCAGCTCAATCCTACGACCAACAATCCAATTCGACTGCGACTCACGAAACGTAATCATGCGAACCTTGACACTCTTGACCGTCAACGGCAGAGTCTCCAGCAACCGAAAATAGTCAGCCAAACATGGGAATGACAGGTTCGTCAATTCGAGGTTTGTAAGATAGGTTAACGCAGGCAGAATCGCCGTGTTGCCCACCGAACTTCCGTTAATTTTCACGCTATGAACACCTTTGCACCACGGAAAAATAGCGGTTGAGACATCCTCTTTCACCCATTCTAACCAGACCGTGCGCAAGCAAGAAATGGGAACGCGTTTTTCGAAGTCGGCAAGAAACTTGGTAGCAGGACCGAAGGATCCGTGCAAGGCTAAGTTGCGAAAGAAATAGGGAAAGCATGCGCTATGGAGGGTAGAGGATGCCAAGGAAAGTTGTTTGATAGTCGGGGTATCGAGGTGTGAAAGAATCTCTTCCAATAGCTCGAGAGGGAGGCCCTCCAGATTTGAAGGGGAATCCAGCTGCAAGGCGGAGAGATTAGAGGACATTTGTGGAGGGAAAGAAAGATTTACCTTGATATTCTATGCGCCTCGTTTATATAGATGTCTGCTCCTGAATGATGCATGATGTCTCAGATTCAAGCAAGGACCTGTTTTGGGTACTACAATAAGTCTTCATTGTACCGTAGATAAATAAAGGGGTCGGGACATGTCCGTTTTTGTTCTGAACAATGGCTGGCTGTCACTGCCTTGTTGTTGTTATGGGTAGTGCGGTGCCCGGTGCGTTCGAACTTGGTCCATCTGATCGGTAAGCGATAGTAACGATCAGAAGACTGAGTTTTTTGGGTCATTAAAAAGACTGTCGCAGATATCTAAGTGCGGTTTCTGTTAGTAGGATTACAATTCTTTGAAATCATAGAAGAGCGGCGTATCAAGGAAGAAGTACCACTGATCCAGAAAGAACCCCAATTAAGATTGGACCTGACCACAAGCCATTGGCTGCCTACCATCAGATTCCATTGTATGACCGGGAGGGCTCAGGAACAACTCAGGAAAACTTATTCAGGATGTCTTGACGCATCATTTCTGTTCGATCCAATGTAATTGAATATTTTCAGTTACATGTACGACGACCACTTCATCAGGTCTTCTATTGGAGTTAGGGAACTATGAATATATATGCCGTAATAAAGTTGATGAAAAGTCTATTAATCTCTTCCCTTCACGCCTGAATCTCATTCTGTTCTTCTTTTCTGCTCCAAGTGCTAAGTCCCCCGCACTTCTTCATGTGAACCATCAATGTCAACATAGTTTTCAACAATTTCGGGCAGTTTCCGCATTCAATATAACTCAATTTGAGATGCGAATCAAGGACGTGCGCTTTCACGTCCTCTAGCTTGAGATTCTTGTCGCACCTCCCGTGCGAATGGCACACAATTTGTTTACGACACCGGAGACTGTGTTGAACACCGGGGCTATGTGGATTTGACCAGCTGGGGCATAACGATTGATTACATTTCATGACGAAATGCTGGGCTTCGTAATGCGCTGGGAACTCGTCTAGCGATAGGGATGCTGAGCAGCCTATGATCGGGCAAGGATGAAGGGTGCCGAGAGGTGGGGGAATGCGTTGCATTCCATAGAAGGTCGTGGGGAAATCAAAAGTCGCAGTATAGCACGGCATGACATCTTTTGCGACCCTTTTTGGATCGAGGGGACAGTAACGGTGCGTACCGTCGGCACTGTGGTTGGGAATCGATCAGTGTTGGGATTTGCAACTTCAAGCTCATGCTAGAAAATTCCCGAAGCTTCGGCTTATTCATTTGTCACGATACTTAGATATATTTAGTACTTTTGGTAGAATATTCTAGATACTTTTCGTAGTATATAAGGAGCTCATTAGGAGCTCTAGTAGCTAACAATTCAGTATTATACCTACTGCAAGCCTCCCACTGCAATAATTCCAACAATCAGGGAATGTTATGTAGTGACAGATTGAAATGTACAACTTGTGCACTAAGGGAGGAGGCAAGGAGGAGGGATTTCCGCGGGTACATAGCTTAGGAATATATCAGAAGGCTAGGTATAAAGAAGAGTAGAACAACATGCTTGTCTTGGGATCGTTCAATATTTCCTTGCTGGCGTGGCTGACTAGGTGGTGCTCGGTAGGGACTGTCGCAGACAATGGGTGAAACTACAATTGATAATATAGGGAAATGTCTTACCTCCAGGTCGGAAACCCAGTCTTGCATTGAGGAGATTTTCCGCTTTCCTGTCTGATACAATAGTAAGAATTGAGCTATAGAACAAGGGATGGGGAATACTCTCTGGACTTTTCTCTGTCACCAACTGAAGAGCTCCAAGCAAGGGACGGTGTCACATCGATTGGTTGGTATTGGGGTGCGAGAGCACGGTAAGGATTATGAGCCGACTCTGCTGGTCCCAGATAAATCATCATACTGGGTGCAATGTATGATGGAAGGTATTGAATAGCGGGTGGCATATAGAGACTCTTGTAAGACTGTACTCCAGAAAAATATCTTGGTAGCAAGTTGTTCGAAGAGGATGGCGATACAGAGGCTGGAGGCATTGGATAGAATATGGTATGACGGTCTCGTAGATATTGCATCGAAACGTGTTCGTTATTCGTATTGCCAAGCTTGTCCGTGGATTCAAGAGATTCAATATCGGAATGATGTGTGTTTCTGTGAGGAATGAAATGCTCAACCTGAATGCACCGGATGAGTGGCATACCTCTGCAATGCACCGGATGATTCTGTGGCTTCACTAGGAAAGGAAAGACTGGAAGGTGTTGTATCAGTTTGATCTAGCAGAGAAATAAATGGAACGTACCTAGTGTCTTCAACAGCAAACCCCGGACCTTGATCTGGAGCACCATGTAAGTTGGATGATGCACAGCTTGTTCTACTTAAGGCCGAGTAAAGCAGGGAGCTCTCTTCAAAACTGCAAGGCATGAATAAACAAAATGAGAGGTGCGGAGTGAAAGAGCCCACCTCTGTGAGTCTCCGACCTGCTGCGGCTTGATTTCTGGTGGCTCGAAGCTAAAAGAAGTGTTACATTACAGAAACATAGCACTCAAAGAGGCATACCCAAACAGTTCTTCAGAATTTAGCCCGTCTTCTGGACTTAGCCCATCACGTGTCGCATCCATTCATGCAACTCTGCACGAGCTTGAAACATAACTCAAACAGAGAAGAAAATTAACCTACAATGGTGATCTACCACGGAGTTTCAGCATGTTGTAAGTAGCAGCCATCCTGCCACCAAGTCAGTTTGAACAGGCGAGTGGGTAGGCAAGGGGGCTACACACACGGGTACTGTGGGTGGTGGGCATGTGCAAATGGATTGTGATGTGCAAATCCTTCTTTGCAGCATGTTCCGGCTACTTGTTGGCTTCAGTTTTTTTTCTGATGACTAAACAAAACTGTATAATTATTGCTATTTCAAAAAATGATGAGAATCCAAAAAAAAAAATAAAAAGTTTTGGGCCCTGCAAAAAGACCTCCGAGTCTGCACTCAGGGGGCCATGACGATCAACGTCATAGGTTGTTTCGTCAACAGTTGTGGGTTGTCTCAGATGGTGCAGGCTGAGATCGGGCTGGCATCTGGTGTGTCAAAACTTTTTTTCTTTTTCGAGAATCTCATCATTTTTGAAAATAGCAATAAGAGTGCATGATAATTTTATTTGTGGGTTTAGAGGAAGCCATGCTGTATCGAAATTTGCACATCGTGATCCATTTGCACATGCCAACCACCCATAGTAGGGGGACAAAATAAGACGCGTCCATTTTCTTGAAGTCTAAGAGGTGAAGGTGAGAGGCTGAATTTCAAATAGCCTTTTATACAAGGGCATGACCGTGCAAAGTCAACGTGGGCTGTAGCCCTATTTGGGTCTCAATGCATCAGAAAAAGGTGCTATTTGACAACTTATCGCATGTGGATTTGCATGAGGTCGCAAATAAGGTGTTAGCCACCAACTTGAGTCGACTTAGATCAAGCTAGGATCACTACTCGCACTTCAGTAGATGATACTCTAGCAGGTCAAAGGCGATGGCAAGCTGATTGCGAATGAGATAGTCGTGAAGCGGGGAGTTCGATGTTGGGTAGATTAAACCTTAGCCAAAGCTGGGGTTTAGACCAGCTGAGGCTCTACTTAAATACACGTGGATAAACTAATAATAGTACTGTGGGAACGTGTCCGTTGTGATCGCATATGAGTAATCGAGCTGAGTCAAGCGGAGAAAAAAGGAAAAAATGAATAAACCATAACATTACCCCCTCCTTAAGACTCATTCGTCCCGAATGAGTCCTCAGACTCCCAGTCGTCATCATTGGAGGAGGAGTGTCGGGACTCCGAGTAAAAGGAGGATACGTCATCGTCTTTATCCTCCTCGTCTCCATTCCAATTTTCATGAATTCGTTGGAGGTTTTGGAGGTTTACCTCTTCCTCTGTATCATTTTCTATTACCGGTTCACCATCGGCTTCATCTGTGGTGACAATGGGCCACTTGTTCCGTAAGAAGTCAGGTTCAAGCTCAGGATTGAATGCTGGGTGCCAATTTTGAGCTGCCAGGTCAATTGATTGGCGAGTCGGGGAAGAGGGATAAGAGTCTTGTTGGGTGTCCGAATGCCTTACGTTAGAGCATTGGGAAGAGTGAACGGTTTCGATGTCCATGACACAGGGGGTATCAGGTTCGTGGTACGTCGGTGTGTCGTTTGCCAGTATCTTGTTATCGATCCCGATCGCCCTCCCATGGTTGTCTATTTCCCATTGAATTCTCTGGAGGCATGCTTCATATTCATTTACCAACTCCTCTGCATTGGCCATGTTTGCTCGTTTTACCCAAGAGTTTTCCTCGTTGGGATAACCTTTCCACTTCACCAGGTACTCTGTTATGGTATGGCAGGTACGTCCACGACCAACGACTTTGTCTCGCTGCTCCACGATTTCTTCAATCTCATACTCTTCTTCATCAATCAGTTCCAGGGGTGGTCTTTCAGGTTGTGGTTGATTAGGGAATTCAGATTCCTGATACGGCGTCAGGAGAGATTCGTTGAATTGGTTATGAATCTTCCACGCGACTGGGAGTTTGAGTTTGTAGGCTGAGGCCCCCTTTTTGGATAGGATGGTGAAAGGCCCTACTCGTCGATCCCCAAGTTTCTTGGTGGGTCGAGGTAGGTTTAGGTTTGTAGAATCTAGCCACACCTTATCGCCAACGTGATATTCCACCGCCTCCCCTCTATGTTTGTCGTAGGCTCTTTTCATGGACTCGGCTGCTCGTTCCAATGACTCTTTTGCTTTCTGCTGCACTTCTTGAATACCCTGAACCAGTTTCAAAGCAGCCGGGACGACTTCAGGGCGCTGGGCGGCTTTGAGGACTTGTCCATCTTTCCCAAAGACCACTTTATAGGGGGAGAAGCCTGTAGCCGAATGTGTTCGATTGTTATGGGTGAAGGCAGCCAAAGGCAGCCAATCACTCCAGTCATCTTGCTGATAGTTTACGAACATTGTGAGGTACTTTTCGATCTCCTGATTGACTCGTTCCGTCTGTCCGTCCATCTGAGGATGATAGGTCGTGGATGGGTTCCCAGCAACTTGGAGGAGGGCATAGAATTCTTTCATGAACTTGGATACAAAAATCGCCCCCCTGTCTGAAATGACCTTCTCCAGCATTACTCTGTACAGCACGTAAACATAATCCCTCAGTATTTTAGCAAAGCCAAGGGAGGTAAGTGCCTCAGTGCATGCAATCGGGATTATCGTTTTGGAAAACTTGTCAACAATGACAAGGATGGAGTCGAACCCTTTGGACGAGGGGAGTTTAGTGATCATGTCAACCGAGATGTGCATCCATGGTCTTGTCGGCACCTTGTTTGGGTGAAGAGGCGCCTTCTTAGGGCGGCGGTCTGCTTTGGTACGTTGACAGACCTCGCATCCTTTGACATATGCTTCTACCTCTTGACGCATCCGGGGCCACCAGTAGTCTCGCAGGACGAGCTCCTTGGTCTTCTCGATACCAGGGTGTCCTGCCGTCGCATGGTCATGCCACAAGGCTATGATTTCTCCTCGTAGTCGCCGGTCTGTGGGGACATAGATGTGCCCATCATACCAGAGTAACTCCTGCTCCCGAGTAACCCCCTTTTCATGATTGAGGGAGTCTGAAATGCCTCGATCCCACTTGCATATGTCGTGAGTGGCCAGTTTAATTTTTTCGTGGAGCTCCTCTTGACTGGGCATTACTAATGCTCAGAAATGCTCTGCCTTCAGGATTACTACGTCTCGGTTGTCTTCCTTCCCCTGATCGTGGTCTGCTCGTTGGGATAGTAGGTCTGCTTTGCGGTTCTGGGCCCCAGGCTTATGATGCAGCGTGAACTGGTATTCCGCCAGTTCTATCACCCACTGAGCCTGCCGCCGGTTGAGTTTTTGGGGCTTACGGAAGTATTGAAGATTGGAATGGTCTGTCCAAATCTCAAAATCTTCCCGGGCGCCCATGAGGTATTGTCACCACTCTTCCAGGGCAATCATAATGGCAAGGAGTTCCTTATCGTAGATTTCATAGTTGCGCTCGGTAACGGACAGGGCTTTGGAGAGAAAGGCTACTGGTCGCCACTTCTCATTTTGCCATTGAGACAGTATGGCCCTGATCACCCCCTCGCTGGAGTCTGCCTCCACTCTAAACTTCCTGTCATCCAAGGGTATAGCTAGCACCACATCCTCACAGAACATCTCCTTCAGCTTTTCGAACACCTTTTGTTGTGGTTCCCCCCATCTCCACTCGGCCTTCCCAGTTAACGAAGTAAGAGGCTTTATGTGTTTGCTATAGTCCCGTATAAAGCGTCGATAAAAATTGCAAAAGCCTAAGAACGATTGTAGTTCCTGCTTTTTGTGGGGCATAGGCCAGTCTAGTAGGCCAGCAATTTTTACTGGGTCCATGCGAATCTTCCCTTCGCTGATGATCACCCCTAGATATTTGGTCTCTTCTACCTCGAATTTGCACTTCTCGGCTTTTAGGAACAACTTGTTGTCTTGTAGGATCTTTAGTACCTTCCGTACGATGCGCCTGTGGTCCTCTTTCGTCTTGGAGGCTATGAGAATGTCGTCCAAATAGACAGACACCTCTCCAGCAGCGATAAGGTCTTTGAAGATGTCGTTCATCATCCACTGAAAAGTGGCAGGGAATTGGTAAGCCCGAAGAACATTACCAAGGGTTCGTAAAGACTGCGGTTAGTTCGGAACGCTGCTTTCCATTCATCACCTTGTTTAATTTGGACGTTATTATATCCCCAGCATACGTCCAACTTGGTGAAATACTTCGCCTTCTTCAGCCGGTCCATCAATTCCCTGATGAGTGGTAACGGATATCGGTTCTTGATGGTCATCTCATTTAGTTTTCGATAGTCCTGTACCGGGCGGAGCTTCCTGTCTTTCTTTTTGACAAAGAAGAAGGGGGATGCCATGGGGGACTTCAAGGCCTGGATACGGCCAGTTGAGAGATTTTCGTCGAGGAATTTATCCAACTCCTCCTGTTCTGTGGGGTTGAGAGGGTAGACCTTGCAGTCTAGATTGGCGTTAGCATTGGGGATTAGCTCAATGGTGTGATCCCAGGGTTTCCGCAGGGGTAGTTCGTCGAAATTTTCTTTGTCAAAGATGTCCTGGAACTCTCGATACTCTTCCGGCACTATTTCCTTGAAGGATTTAGTCTTCTTCTGGGCATTAGCCTGGGCAGCCAATTTGTTTGCTTTGGTGCCCATGGCTCGCACATGGAAGGCTTCTTCAAAGTCTATTACCAGAATGGTATCCCCTTCCTCATACTCGTCCCAGCGAGAAGAGGGATCCGTATCCGGCAGGGAGAAGGGGATCTTACGACAGGCACACCAAGCCAGGGTGACGGCTCCCATGTCCCAGTCGATCAGCGGGTTATGCCTTTGTAACCAATCATGCCCTAGGAAGAGAGGGGTGGTGCCTAAGTCCACCATGGCTAATTCGATTCTTTCCACATGGTCCCCAATCCGTAGCCGTACCTCAGCATACTCGGTGATGTCACCTCCCTTGTTCCTGGTGCCATCAGCATTATAAACTGGGACTGATCAGGCCACCTTCCGGAGATTGATGCCACGTTCCTGAACCCAGTGGCGGTCAATGGAACTCCT